CCTAAACCCATTATACCTATCACCCTACTTCCTATCATTAAGCATCTGCATGCTTACTGCATTTTCTTTTTGTTTTGCATTTGGCAGCTTCTGTTGATGCTTGTAGAAGAAACATCAAATTCAATGGTTCAGTTGCAGTTTCAAAAGTTGAGTCTCATCTTGCTGACGCTCGTGTATATATGATAACCCACCCTAAAGAATTTGATGTGGTAAGTGGATGCTACGATTATGTACTTGTGTTAACCTTTCTGAGGAAATGTGCTTTTCATGATCTTTATGGGTGATATTTTTTTCAGGTTGATCTTGATCCTTATGGTTCACCTTCTGTGTTTCTGGATTCAGCAGTTCAATCTGTTGTTGATGGAGGTATGCTGATGTGTACTGCGACAGACATGGCTGTGCTCTGTGGTGGGAATGGGGAGGTCTGCTATTCGAAGTAATGTTATTACTCTTATTGGCTTTAAACTTTCTTTGGCATTTGTTTGATTGGTGGACTGAACATCTAAGAATTGCTATTCATACTAGATATGGATCATACCCATTGAGAGGGAAATATTGCCATGAAATGGCTTTGAGGATTGTGCTGGCTTGCATTGAGGTATATATATCATGTGGAATTTCTTGAATGTTTGTTAATACTTAATTTGTATCCTCCTGTTATTTGGATGCGTAGATTGATGTTAAATAGTCAATCAGTCATCAAAGACCAAATATTGTGCAAAAGTTTGAATCAGTTTAGTATCTATCTATATTATGAAAGTTTAAGTGTGATGTTTTCTTACCAATTGCAGAGTCATGCTAATCGGTACAAGAGGTATATTGTTCCTGTGCTATCCGTGCAGATGGACTTTTATCTACGTGTTTTTGTTCGCATATATACGTAAGTTCTCTACTTTTGTTATCATGTGCTTCAGTAAATATTGTTAGTGTTTGCAAATTAATGATTGTGACATAAAATATAATTTTCTTTTACGTTGACTGAAAGAGGAAATACTTGGTTGCAGTTCTGCCAGTGCTATGAAAAACACTCCCCTAAAGCTTTCATATGTTTATCAGTGTACTGGTTGTGATTCTTTCCACCTGCAGCCCATTGGAAGGACCATTTCCAAGGTGTGTACCCTGTTCTAGTCTGTTATTGTCATCATTTTGACACAATACGTTCTGATTCAATGTTTTCTAACTTCTTTGTACACCTAGACCTGCTGTCATGATAATAAGTCGTTCTTGACATTTGTATGATTTGTTATGTATATATGCATGTATTTTTTTTAAATGCACGTAATTTTGAATATTAATTTTCTACCCAATGACAGATATTACTGCCATTACACTCTAAAGTGAGTTACTCGTTCTAGTGAAGAAGGATTCATATGTTTTATTCGATCTGTCCTTTTTTTTGTGCCAGGGATGAACTGAGTAGAAAATAAAGATAGTTAGAGGGCATTTAGCTCATCTCAATTTACGTAACTTTTTAGTTATTTCTTTGCATAGTATAAAATGTAATATGGAGTTGTGGTGGATAATCAATTCTATTATGACATCTGGAAGTGTTACTTTTACCATTCTGTTCGAATGTTTAATTTCATATATTGAGTTTAGTGCTGGTGAAGTTTGCCTGGACTGCAATACGCAACAAAGAATTAAAACTACCACACTAAGGATCCAAATAGAGAAATACACTGATCTCCATGGTTAGCACTAATCACACCTTGCATATTTGGACACCCTTTTACTAAAAAAATTACACACACCTCTCCTTTAAAGTACGAACGATGCACAAAATCACCTTAACAAAATAAGGGAGGTAGTACAACTTTTAAACAAAAAAGAACATAAGTGCAAATTATTTCTCTAACATCATGGGACGTTGTCTAAATTATACTTAAATTTTATCGTTCTCTTGACCACTGTGTTTTGAGGATTGGGGTTATGCTTTAGCAATAGACCAAGGGGTTGGCATGTTATACTACTTGTTGCTTTCTTGGCTGTTTAAAAACCATGACATGTTGAGGGGAGGAACATAATTTCATTTTACTTTTTCAGAATACCAGTGTCAGATATTTGCCTGGCTTTGGTCCTGTTGTTCCTCAAGAATGCACTGACTGTGGGAAAAAATTCAATATGGGTGGTCCTATATGGTCTGCTCCTATCCACGACCAAGAATGGGTAGCTGCTATTCTAGCAGATGTGAAATCTATGAAAGACAGATATCCAGCTTACGATCGCATTTCAGCTGTGTTGACTACAATATCAGAGGTGTGTTTCCATGTTCATTTAAGATGCATGCACGTAACATTTTACATTGCAATTAATTCACCCAAATCTTCTAAACTCTAATTTTAAATGAGTATATTCTTTGCAGGAATTGCCTGATGTTCCCCTATTTTTGAGTCTGCACAACCTCTGTGCGACCCTCAAATGTACTTCTCCATCAGCAATTATTTTCCGTTCTGCAGTGATCAATGCAGGCTATCGTATATCTGGAACTCATGTTAATCCATTGGGGCTCAAATCAGATGCACCCATGGATGTTATTTGGGATATTATGCGTTGCTGGGTAAGTTATCACGCATGGTTAAAACCTTTTTATTTATATGTTGGCTTTGTTTTTTGCTGCGGAATTAGATTTTTCTGACATGTATATAAAACACTCCTAGATAAAAACACATTGGCCCATTTAAAGACGCTGAGTAGAACTTATTTGGTTTGCTTGGGTATACTGGGAAAATTTGTAAAGAATGATTTGCATTTTTACTCAATTCATTGATTATCTCTCCCTTCAGGTAAAAAATCATCCAGTGAAGCCTCAGCCAGCAGATCAATCAGGAAGCATCATACTTTCAAAGGAACCAGTTCTACAGGTATGTTAATCATTAAAGCTTTGGTCTCATACAAGATGGGGTTACTCCCCTTCTCCTTATCCCAACATTTTTTATTATGTGCTATTGGGTGGATAATTCAAGCAAGTCATGGAGGAGGATTTGATCTAAACTGAGATGTGTGCACAGGTTTGTGGTGGGTGAGTTAGAAGTAATACAAAGCTTATGCTTTTACAAAACTTTGTTTGGCCAAACTTGGTATTATGAAGCCCTAAGCACCACAAACATCTTTCAACAAGTTACTAAACATATATTAGTTAAAACCATGAACTACTAAGACATGGGAAAATATTTGTGTAATGTAACTTATATCCGTTGTTATTTACTTATTGTGTAGCAAGACTTTGGGCCATGTGGTGAATTTCCATGAACTTAGATATTGGTTATTGTTCGTATTTTGGCATATGGTTTGGTTGGACTGTGATCAGGTGTGGTGTGTTGACTAGAACTTTTCTTGTCTGTCCTTTTCAGGCCAATTTTTCTCGTGCTGTAGCATCTCTCAGCAAGGCTCAAGCTAAGAAAGTTGCACGCTTTCTTCCAAATCCTGAAAGACACTGGGGTCCAAAACTGAGGGCAGGTCGTACAATTACTAGCAAGCATGTCTCTCTTTTGGGTCCTGAAGCTATCAATGGAGCTCTCAATCAGGAAGACGAAGAAGAACCGAAAAGTAAGAAGCCAAGGACTGAAGATACTGTCACATCTTAGCTCAAAAAGTTTTGAAATTATTTTCATCAATCTAGAGGTCATGGAGTTCTAAATTATGGTTACTAAAGAAATCCATTTGTCTTCACTAAATTTTGCAGAGGTAAACGAGTAAAAGTAGATAATGTGCCTTGTTTCTCAATTAACAAGTATGCAAAATGCTGAGGGGAGATTAAGGCACCATGCATCAAATTAGATGTTAGAATTTGTCATTTATTTTTGTCTTTTTGGGATTATTATGGAAATTGTACTGTGTGGATTATTTTTTCCTAGTGACTGTATTTGTTGTTTCTTATAGTAGTTGAAGTTTCAAACATTGAGCGAAAAAGAAAAATAAAAGGAAATTGAAATATTGCCTTTCACGTTTAGCTCTACATATTTCTGTCTTTTCCCTCTTGTATAGAAGCTGTTGAAGTCCTTTCCTAGTGTAAAAATAATGACATTTAATGGTCACTACACTTGAGTATGCAGGTTCTTGAAGGATGCTCAAAATGTTTGGTGGTTATATAATGTTTTTTTTAAAAAATAGTCACTGAATTGTTGCAATCCATGTGCATGGAACCGATTTTATTTATTATGTAGTTTATTCCAAGAATTTATTATTGGTATTAAGATTGTTGAGATTCATGAAGTGTGATGTTAATTTACAGCAATATAACATGACTATGTTTACTAGTTTATCTTCATATTGAAATTTCATTAAGAATGGTTGGCTTTAAATGGTGTGGACTGTACTGCCATTTTAATTGAGGAACATACAGGGTTCAATTTTGTCAACATTTTGTTTGCGTCTACAAAACATTGTTAGATGCAGAAATGTCTGTTATAAATGACTTGCCACACATTTTTAACTCATGGAGAATATTCTTAATAGAAAATTGTAAATGTTCTGTCTTAAAATGGACGTGTTAATTAAAAAAGAAGAGATTGCTTGTAATGCTCAAATATATTTCAAAACAGATAAACATTAGTATTTTTAAAATCAGATTGATTTATAATGGATAACGGATTAGCTCAATTGTGATTGAATTGATAATAGCAAAATGTATATTTTTTAATGTTATGTTAAACAATAAATTAACATATCATTATTTGAAGTTAGGTGAAAATTTAAATCAACAAAAAACTTATTTTTTTGGTTATCGCATTTCTTATAAGATTATAAATATTTACATAATTAAATAACATTTATTATACATAATTTTTTGGTTTTTTTATTTATTTTATAAATCTTGGAGCAAGAAAGATTTGAAAAAAAAAATATAGGAGGAATTTTTCCTTATTCTTAATTAATTTTTGCAGGTTCGATTCACAGCAATTTTAGCAACAGTGTCTACAATTCTGAAAAAGTTCACCCTCAAACTACTTAGATGAACTGAAGTGATTAAACCTGCTGAATGANTTAAATGAGTATATTCTTTGCAGGAATTGCCTGATGTTCCCCTATTTTTGAGTCTGCACAACCTCTGTGCGACCCTCAAATGTACTTCTCCATCAGCAATTATTTTCCGTTCTGCAGTGATCAATGCAGGCTATCGTATATCTGGAACTCATGTTAATCCATTGGGGCTCAAATCAGATGCACCCATGGATGTTATTTGGGATATTATGCGTTGCTGGGTAAGTTATCACGCATGGTTAAAACCTTTTTATTTATATGTTGGCTTTGTTTTTTGCTGCGGAATTAGATTTTTCTGACATGTATATAAAACACTCCTAGATAAAAACACATTGGCCCATTTAAAGACGCTGAGTAGAACTTATTTGGTTTGCTTGGGTATACTGGGAAAATTTGTAAAGAATGATTTGCATTTTTACTCAATTCATTGATTATCTCTCCCTTCAGGTAAAAAATCATCCAGTGAAGCCTCAGCCAGCAGATCAATCAGGAAGCATCATACTTTCAAAGGAACCAGTTCTACAGGTATGTTAATCATTAAAGCTTTGGTCTCATACAAGATGGGGTTACTCCCCTTCTCCTTATCCCAACATTTTTTATTATGTGCTATTGGGTGGATAATTCAAGCAAGTCATGGAGGAGGATTTGATCTAAACTGAGATGTGTGCACAGGTTTGTGGTGGGTGAGTTAGAAGTAATACAAAGCTTATGCTTTTACAAAACTTTGTTTGGCCAAACTTGGTATTATGAAGCCCTAAGCACCACAAACATCTTTCAACAAGTTACTAAACATATATTAGTTAAAACCATGAACTACTAAGACATGGGAAAATATTTGTGTAATGTAACTTATATCCGTTGTTATTTACTTATTGTGTAGCAAGACTTTGGGCCATGTGGTGAATTTCCATGAACTTAGATATTGGTTATTGTTCGTATTTTGGCATATGGTTTGGTTGGACTGTGATCAGGTGTGGTGTGTTGACTAGAACTTTCCTTGTCTGTCCTTTTCAGGCCAATTTTTCTCGTGCTGTAGCATCTCTCAGCAAGGCTCAAGCTAAGAAAGTTGCACGCTTTCTTCCAAATCCTGAAAGACACTGGGGTCCAAAACTGAGGGCAGGTCGTACAATTACTAGCAAGCATGTCTCTCTTTTGGGTCCTGAAGCTATCAATGGAGCTCTCAATCAGGAAGACGAAGAAGAACCGAAAAGTAAGAAGCCAAGGACTGAAGATACTGTCACATCTTAGCTCAAAAAGTTTTGAAATTATTTTCATCAATCTAGAGGTCATGGAGTTCTAAATTATGGTTACTAAAGAAATCCATTTGTCTTCACTAAATTTTGCAGAGGTAAACGAGTAAAAGTAGATAATGTGCCTTGTTTCTCAATTAACAAGTATGCAAAATGCTGAGGGGAGATTAAGGCACCATGCATCAAATTAGATGTTAGAATTTGTCATTTATTTTTGTCTTTTTGGGATTATTATGGAAATTGTACTGTGTGGATTATTTTTTCCTAGTGACTGTATTTGTTGTTTCTTATAGTAGTTGAAGTTTCAAACATTGAGCGAAAAAGAAAAATAAAAGGAAATTGAAATATTGCCTTTCACGTTTAGCTCTACATATTTCTGTCTTTTCCCTCTTGTATAGAAGCTGTTGAAGTCCTTTCCTAGTGTAAAAATAATGACATTTAATGGTCACTACACTTGAGTATGCAGGTTCTTGAAGGATGCTCAAAATGTTTGGTGGTTATATAATGTTTTTTTAAAAAAATAGTCACTGAATTGGTGCAATCCATGTGCATGGAACCGATTTTATTTATTATGTAGTTTATTCCAAGAATTTATTATTGGTATTAAGATTGTTGAGATTCATGAAGTGTGATGTTAATTTACAGCAATATAACATGACTATGTTTACTAGTTTATCTTCATATTGAAATTTCATTAAGAATGGTTGGCTTTAAATGGTGTGGACTGTACTGCCATTTTAATTGAGGAACATACAGGGTTCAATTTTGTCAACATTTTGTTTGCGTCTACAAAACATTGTTAGATGCAGAAATGTCTGTTATAAATGACTTGCCACACATTTTTAACTCATGGAGAATATTCTTAATAGAAAATTGTAAATGTTCTGTCTTAAAATGGACGTGTTAATTAAAAAAGAAGAGATTGCTTGTAATGCTCAAATATATTTCAAAACAGATAAACATTAGTATTTTTAAAATCAGATTGATTTATAATGGATAACGGATTAGCTCAATTGTGATTGAATTGATAATAGCAAAATGTATATTTTTTAATGTTATGTTAAACAATAAATTAACATATCATTATTTGAAGTTAGGTGAAAATTTAAATCAACAAAAAACTTATTTTTTTGGTTATCGCATTTCTTATAAGATTATAAATATTTACATAATTAAATAACATTTATTATACATAATTTTTTGGTTTTTTTATTTATTTTATAAATCTTGGAGCAAGAAAGATTTGAAAAAAAAAATATAGGAGGAATTTTTCCTTATTCTTAATTAATTTTTGCAGGTTCGATTCACAGCAATTTTAGCAACAGTGTCTACAATTCTGAAAAAGTTCACCCTCAAACTACTTAGATGAACTGAAGTGATTAAACCTGCTGAATGATACTGCTCAAATCCAATATCTAATAAAAATAATCCTTAATAAAACTTTATCAATCTTTCCATGAAATCATATTAATTTAAAATAAAATTTTTAATAACAGTGTGAATTATGTAATTTTTTTTTGAAGATTCACCACCAGTGTCGGTGAGAGTAAAACAACAGTAGCTAAGAACAGAACAGTGGCATATTCTGTAAGTACTAAATAAAATCCCAAAAGCTATGGACAACAACTATACGGATTCACCACCTCAGACACCTAAGGTCACATATCCCAATGTCACAATAAATTGCCAGAACTAACTGAGCACCTAGTTTAGTACATTACACAGTTTATTACAAACTTTCAATTATGACCATCCAATGGAACCAAAATACAGCTAGCCACTGCTCATGCACAACAATTTCTCACATTAAACCTATGTCACAACCTTCCACATCACATAAAGGACTTGCAAACGTGTCCATTGCAGCTACACTACAATTAATGTTTACGTAATCATCTCATGTGAATGCAGACAGCAGTGAGTTAATGAAATTTTCATCATCACATTTTAGTGTTGCTGTAGTTTTGCTTTATTCGTGCAATCGAAGAAATACCAAAGTTCAGTGCCAGAAATCAAACTACCATAATATCAACAACATAAGTTTTCTATTGCAGTAATAAGAAAACTAGTAACAAAAAAAGTTGACACTGGAAAGTTTATTCTACCAAAATACTGGTTTTCTTGTCTTGTTCTATAACTAGTATTTCCAAATTCTCTATACCAGCAACTATTTCTATCTCCATCAATTTGGTTTGACAAGTTTTTGAAGTTATTTGTATTTTTTCATATAAACTGGTTGAATAAATAGTCTACATATAGACATCGTAAAGAGTTTTTGCATTTTCATCCAATCACAAATAGTTATATTTGATAAGCATATTGAATCTTATAATAATTAACTTAAAAGTTATATTGATAAATAATTATTTTTGTTGATTGATGAAATTATTTTCTTACATTGTCTGCGAATGGAAGTTAAACTCTAATTGGATTGTTTCATCTTCTCATGAGAGGGAAATCACTGTTATAAATATTTTATGTTTAGAAATTCAAGCTAGCATTTGATGAAAAGGAGATGATTTGAGTGGCAGAAAAATTACAGAAGAAAAATCAAACTTCCTGAACATATCAGTTTGAAAACTCGATCACTGTTGATTTGGTAATGAGCCATACATTGATATTCTTCCTATAATAACACTTGCTTCACTTGAACTTCAGAACCAGCAAGTGATAAGGTCCTGAGTGATGTGTGTCTACTAAGGGTACAAAAATCACAAGAAAACAACTAGACCATTGTACTTTATTCTTCATAATCTCAAAGCATGAAGTGAAAAAAATAGAATTACAGCTAACAATGCTGCAAACTTAAGTGACACTAATTGTAAATCGAAAAGAAATACTTAAAAAAAGTACAGAATAAAAATAGTTCGACTTCTAGTCCAGTTTCAGTGGTTGCTAACCAAGACCTGTTTATGCTTTGCCATTGGCCTTAGATGCTCCAACAGGGTTAAGATCATCCCAAGCCTCAATCCAAGTAACCATGGCATCTGCCAGCTTGTCAAAGTAAGGATCAATCTTTGAAAGCTTTTCCTTGACTTGCTTGGAGAGTTCAATGTAGCACTTCTGCACTGTGGTGCATTCTTTTGGAAGCACAACATTCTGGAAGAATGGAATAATGTCCTCCTGCCAGAATATGCCTTTGTACTCTTTCCTCAGGTTAACAAATGGGTTGCTTGCCTTGCTGTGATAGATGTATGGAAGACCAGTCTTGATTCCTAGCCCCAGATGATCACAGATCACCTGAATCACCGTCATCAAAGTTTCTCATTTGTTTTTTTGCTATAATATTCATATAGCTTATAAGGGTATGCATGTAAGGAATCTATTTACCGAACTTATCTATAACACAAATTTATGTACGTGTTTAAGGAAACTTTGCAGAATAACTTAATGAAAACAATCTAACCTTAGTTCTGCTTTGATGAGTACTGACATAACAAGTACTGATTCAATAAGTGTGTGATTAGATCATGTTATCAGAAGAAATAACTGCTTAATTTTACTAACTGTCTAATGGGAACTTTTGGTAAAACAATTGTATGTACAAATTTAAGCATTACAAAATATCCATTTAACTGTTCCTATAAAGTTTTACACTGGAATAAAGCAAAGAAACTGACCTTGCAGCACCAACCAGCCCACATATCATCGTAGCGTCCAATTGGTTGACCATCTCCCATGAGACCAAAGTACATCGCAGGTCCAATGAGATCACGATCGAATGCCAAGTTCATTCCTCACATTGGGAATAAAGTGCCTTTTGGAATGGTCAGAACAGCATCCACATACCTTGTACACAATGACAAGAGTCACAATCAAAATTGTATAGGCTAACACTTTGTAGTTTTTGTTAGGTAGAAGGTTTAAAATAAGGGTATTGCTATGTTATATGGTACTATATATATACCTAGTGTTCCTCTCAAGAGGCTTCACAAGTTGTGTAGGAGCATCATAGTCTGGGATGTTGAGCCAAAGACCATGAGAAACTGCAGTTGGTGCACCTTCACGAAGACTAAAAGGGTATCCACGAACATAATCTGCTCCTTCTCTGAAGGGGTCATAAAGGGTATTGAAGAAGTATGGTGTGGATGGACACAGAAGGTTTTTAATATGCTGCTCAAGAGCATTAATCTTTTTTCCAGATGGTTCACTGGCAACCTGGGCCATAAAAACAATAAACTAGTGAATAATTTAATTTAATTTAATTCAGAAAAATGTAGCAGCAGAAAAAGTTAGATATTAATCATCATATAAAAGTATAGACAAATGATTATAAAATCAACTGATAAATCCAAGGTCCGCAGAAGATATGGCACTACTGACATGTGAGTTCAACAGATAATGGACAAAGTTAACACTATGGAATATATACCAATGTAATATTTTGCAGTAAAAATTACACCCTTGCAGGTAGAATTGTAAGAAGAAAGGCAATTTTCAAAGACAATGCTTAAAACTACCAAATCTCATAGCACAGATGAGCAAAATAATATTTCAATAATAATCTAAACACCTTGAAGAGGAAGTTCATCATCACAGACCTCAAAACATGGATCTAACTCATGCAATGGCCAAAAAGTAAAAAAGAAAACAGCAACAGAACCAGTTGCACATTGAAAACATTTGGAGAATAGCAATGATGCAGAGCAGAATAACAGAATCCGTAATCTAGAGGGCACAGGGGAATCTGCAACCAAAATCATTGTTGCATGGAGGCATGAAATTGGTCACTCAGTTCAAAAAAAACACTTCAAGATCTCTCCAAACATCGAACAGAAGAGCAAACAAATGCAGAACTTTGATGTGGTTTTTCCATATGCTTTTTGTTCTGTACTTAATCAAAATTTGTGTCACTCTGGAAATCCATGCGTGTAGATTTTGTCCATTAACAAAATCGAGACACCCAGAAAGGTGAAAGGAAAGAAAAACTCACAAAGCAGTCATCATCAATGGTGAAGATGTACTTCTTCTTAGACACCATGTAGCCAAAGCAGCGGCAAGCAGAGTCCTTGAAGGAGATGCAAGAGGCCCTTGGACCGAGAAGCTTGTTGATGTCATTGCGGTTGTAGAGTTCATAGTCAAAACCAGGTGGAACCTTAATGGTTTTGGTGGGGTCACCATCCTGCACAATGATCAAATGGTAAGGCTCAAAGAATGGCCTCCACATCTCAAGAAAGTCAAGGTTCCTTATGGTGGGGATAACGATGTCAAGCTCATTTTTCAATGGAGGTGGCGATGTGACATAGGAAGTTGCAGTTGCCATTGCAAGAAGAAGGTTACGTTGCAGAGAGAAGGAGAAAGAGAAAGGGAAAGGGTGAAGAGAAGGGAGAAAAAGAGTGAGCTTTTGAAGGGAAAGA